AGCGACCGCCGCCAGGTTGTGGCGCGGCTCCTTTCCCTCAGGGGGTGGGTTGACAGGGGAGGGGAGGCAGAGCCATGTCCCTGCCGGCCCAGTTCCGCGCTGCCTCCTTCTGTGCTCCCCCAGCTCCGCGTTGGCTTTGCTGTGTTAAATAAGTGGCGCCTTGCCTAGGGGAGGAATGTTCCCCCCGCCTGTGTGTGGCAGTTGCCAGCTGTGGGAAGAACCCCCCCCCACAGGGCGCTGCGTATACATGAAAACAGAGGAAACTCAGGAACATCCAGGCTTTGAGGATGTGCAATTGCTTTAATTGTAATGAAATGCTGCAGAAAAAAAAGCTCTTCCGGCATTAAAACTCTCCAAAACACTGGTGAAAACTGCACGGTGGAGAAGCTGTGCTTTTGATCTAACAGTGTTGCAGCACTCAGCAAGCCAGATTGTTTTGAAATGTTTAATGCGCTTTTTGCTTTAGGTTTAGGTTACAAGGCAACTCACTGTCAGCTATAGCTCAATACAAAAATCTTACAAGGCTTTATTTGCTAAAAAACTACACTATTAAAGTGGGGGTTAGGTAGTTCTTTACTTTTGCCAGCTGTTACGAGCAGTGTCCCAGAGCCCACTATTACAGGTTGCTGTACTTAATAAGTTACTCAAGTTCTGTACATAATTACAGTCAGAGTATGCAGCTGTATAATACACCACAGCCAAACACCACGAGGGCAAAGAACTACTATATAGGAAAGCTTTTTGTTGAAGATTTTACAGTTATTTGACAAAGAGTCAATTTGATACCCTCATACGAGAGAGTGACATCCATCTTCCTTAGGCACTGATCCAGGCAGAATTGCCTTGCAGAATAACCTGGCTCTTTTGCCAAACTCATGCATTATGTGTGTATATATATATATATAAAAGAAATTATGTAGCTCAAAGTCTTCAACAACTCTATAAAAATAATTATTTGTTAGTCTCGTGCTTACCTTCAAATACATGAAGTATTTGAATCACTTCACATTCTCTTTCTGAATTAGTTTCGCTGCAGTATTAGATCAGGCAGAAACTTCATAACCCTTGTTAGTCAAGTGTGACCCAACCAACTGGATACTGCAGCTTGAACAAAACAGTCTGTCTGAATACAACACTAAAAAACCAAGGAAGCTTGTACCACAGCAGATCAAGCTAACTAACACTGAATATATTTTCAATGGTGGGGGAAAAAAACCCCAGTAAAAGCACTATAATAAGTTTTAGCATAGGATATTCAGGGAAAACATATTGTAAGACCATGCTTTGTAAACATTTCGATGAATCAGAGACTGTTGGCTTTGGACTGAATTTTCAAATACTTGGTTTTATGCAGGGCATAACACAGCTAACGCTATGAAAACAAGCAACTTTAACGTGAAGTTACAACAGTAAGAGCAGTGAAGGCTCCTGCATCGAGTGGTTAAAACTGGATATTAATTTATATTTTATTACAAAGTTTATAGCATTACAGAGTCCAGCATGGCACAATAAGTAATGTTTTTACAGTTGCAGTATTTGTTTTCACTTGGTACAAAAAAGCTGAACAGCAGCATAATTGTTACATGGAATCCGGGATTGGACTTAATTTCTTTCTTCTGAATGGGGGTAAGTCAGTGATTTCAAATAAAAAGGCTGCATTTTTAAAATCTCAAATATGTGCAAAATTCCTTTCATTACAGTAGAGAATATGGTAGAGATGTGTGCAGTCTTGAAAGTTATGCCTGAACCCAGATACTGCCAATATATTGCAAACAATCACATGGAGGGTGAACTCCAAACGGCTACTCACAACTCAGTACTGTTTCCAGGAGTTGTCCTCACAGCTGGTGTTCTCTCCCCACCCCGCTTTATGTCCTTTTATGCAGTGCATCAAGTACTGACATTCAGAATTACTGTAGAAAAAAAATTGGTCCATCACAGTTCTCATAAGCTTCCTTCAGGAATTCCAGTAAACTCTCCATCCTAAGTCAGCTGTAACTGTTAAAATGGATTTATGAAAGCAAATGCAATCTGAGAGATGAAGGTCTGTGAAGATGAGCATCTCCATTTCCCTTTCAACAGCTTTTAAAACCACAGAAAATGGGTTCCGATGTTACTGTTTGGAAAGTCCCTTGATTTTGGTGCTTTAGCCTTGGTGTGATTTTTCTCTTTTCACATGTTGTAGGCCACATAAATAGGATCCAACTGGTCAGCTAAAAACCCGTCTCTCAAGTGCATCCGTTGTTTCTCACCACGGGAATTGATAGGAATAACACCAGGGTCCACAATGACTACAACACCTACTATGAGATAATGCTCTTCCAGAACCACATTTGTTACCAAAGCAACCAGGTCCAATGCTTCTTGCTCTGAGCCTTCCAACTCCACAACCACAACAAGCAAGTTGGTCCATGTGAACACAGCACTGTAGGCATGATACAAATAGAAACGGTGAGAAAAAAACACAGTCAAAGGAAGCCACTTATCAGAGAGGGACTCACTGGAAAGACATTTTGTAAGGACTTTATAAGAAATGAGAACAAGTGATAGAATATTAATAAATCAGAAAGTATGGAAACTCTTTAAGTTCCTGGAATATTCTCTGCCACTATTTGCTTAATTGTCCATGTACAAAATATAAGTAGGTCTTTTTCTCTTACATGTCCACAATTGTGTATTTAAAAGTCCTTTGCACTTATGTTTTAAACCAGGAAGATTTCACAGTCTGTGTGTGTATACTTGATTAAAGCACCTGTGTACATCTTCAGAATCACCAATGGAAAGACAAAACCTCCCAAAGCTTAGAAGTAAACACTGCCACTTTGAAGAGAACCTACAGCCAAGTGGCACACATCATCCATTACAACACGTGAGAATAATGTATGTTACAAGACACCATTCAAGAAATCAGATCACAGCCTGGTTTGGGTTGGAAGGGACCTTAAAGCTCCTCCAGTCCCAACCCCCTGCCATGGGCAGGGACACCTTCCACTAGAGCAGGTTGCTCCAAGCCCCTGTGTCCAACGTGGCCTTGAACACTGCCAGGGATGGGGCAGCCACAGCTTCTCTGGGCACCCTGTGCCAGCACCTCAGCACCCTCCCAGGGAAGAACTTCTGCCTCAGAGCTCATCTCAATCTCCCCTCTGTCAGGTTCAAGCCATTCCTGTTGTCCTGTCCCTACAGGCCCGTGTCCAAAGCCCCTCTCCAGGTTTCTTGTCAGCAGTTTTAGGCACTGGAGCTGCTCTAAGGTGTCCCCTTCAGGAGCCTTCTCTTCTCCAGGCTGAAATCCTGAAGATGTATTTACCACATCCGAGCGTGTACATTCTGACACAGGGAAGTCAAGGCTCTGCTGCCCTGTTCCCACCCTGCCATTCCTGTCTTTCAGACTATGAAGATCAAACTCCGATAAAGGTGTGGGCTTTATTTTGTTTTTAGCATTGGAGGCAGTCAAGAGGGACATTATTTTTCAGCTACTCTCACTGCAGTAGTTTCTATGCAAACTTTTGCTGAGTTCACTCCACAGCAAGCTCTCAGTCTAAGCTCTCTTCCATGGACCTGAATTTCTGCTGCTTTAGAAGAAATAAAAGAATACAGAAAAGTAGTACTGAGGCTCTTACCATTCTGCAATGCTCTTATGTGCTCTTATTACAGAGGTCTCTATATCAATGGGATGGTACCTCATTCCTCTGAGCTCCAGTGTTTCATCCAAAGAGCCTACCACATACAGGGCATCGTGTCTCTCTGCAACATAGCACAGACATTTGAAACACTGTCAGATCTACGGAACAAACATGGTCATTTGTATGTCCTTATTCCTGATGTTCTAAGGTGCTTCCTAGGAGGAAGAGTCTAATACACATCAAGCTCTACCATTTGGAGGGAATTAAGAGGTCACATAGCACTTCTGACTGTTGACTCCAAGCAAATGAATCTAGACTAAAAAGGATTTCTGGGTCATCTAATTCTGTGCCTTCTCTCATGTAATCTTAATTCATAAATCCATTCAAAATACACTGTTGAAGCATCTTTTTGTCCCACTCTTTTTCCCAGAGAACTTCTCTCCTCTGATCAGTAGGTACACTTTCCAATTTCCAAATTTAACTTTTATTTTTCTTTTTAAAACCAGCTTATACCCACTGTCTTCATGCCAGCAATACTCAGCTTCTGAAGTTCCCGTAGTTAATGCAGTGAGAACAACTCTATCCCCTCCTCAGCCTTAGCTTTGCCAGGTTAAATAAGCAAACCTCTCCTATATGCTTCTGTAAGGACACGCTCTCCACATTGCCACATCCATCTGGTAACTCTGCTCAGTTCAACTTTGGGTTTTTTTTGCACCCATTTTATAATTCTGCTCAATCATGTAACTTGAGACAAAAAGCATACTTGGGTTTCCTGCATACTTGGCTGTGTTAATTCACCATATATAGCCTCTCAAACACTGACAAACTCAAGGACAACTGGCATTGTTCCACAGGGATGAACATCTCTACATGATTTTTCAGAAAGCTCCAAGGCACAAAACACTGCTATAGTAATGTGCTGCTGTGTCACTTCTCTTCCTTTGTGAATGCCTGCTTGCAGATTCCGATTGCTCAACTACCAGCTTTCTCAAGAACAGGGAGCCCTTTCACTTTGAACAGTGGCAGAAGGACAATTCCACCAAAGCATCCTGTACAGAACCATGCCCTGCAGGTCAGGTCACTACCCCAGAAAACCAGAGAGGAGGAGAACTCAGAGCACCTTGGTCAAGTGTTATCATCCTCTACCAGCTCTGAAGGGTAGCAAGTAATGAATGATTCCTGCTACATCCAGCACTTTCCTCTGATGAAGGTCAGGATAAACTTGCAGGACAGCTTCCTCTTTGCTAGCTCAACTACCCTGAGGGGTTTCCAACACATGTGTCTGTAGGAACATTTGGTTTCTCTTACCTCCACTAGCATCAGTAAGTTCTGTTCTGCGCAGAAAGCCAAGATACCCAGTCCGAGCCCATATGGTCTGAGTGTCTCCAAAACTCAAGCGAGCAGTAAAGTGATCAGCGTGCAGCGACTCTTCTCCATACACTGTGTAGTAACCAGTAGCATTGTGTGGGCTACTCACCCATATCTAGGAGATAAAAACCAAAACAACCAACAAGCCAAAAAGGAATAATTCTCATAGAAACATTGGTTATTTTGCCAGACCCAGGCAGCAGCATTTCTAGATTTAAAAGATCTGTTCCACTGACAATTTTGTTGCTCCTAAAATGCCAGTAGTAGTTTTATTAAAATAAGTCGTTAACTTCTGCCTCACACAGAATGACCAGGAAAAAGGAGTAAAAAAAGAGTTTTATATACATATGTATACATAGTTTGGCAGAGGAGAAAGGAAATCACCAACCCTAACTATTCTATGATTCTATAATACATACATACAAGTATGTAAACTGTTGCAGCTCTCTGCACATTGCCACATTAAGATGATTAAGAAAGAGGCATTTACCTGACATGATTTATCTATATATTAAATCACTACTCATAAAGTACAACAGCATCAAAGCTTTACCTCTCCTAAATGCGAGTCTCCCAGAGGTCCCTTGGTTTCTGTGTGTGCTATGATGACTTTGACCCCTGGAAGAATCTGGAATAAGAAGCAAACAGAAGTTAAGAGAACCTGAATTCATCAAAAGGAAAGTTAATAATGGAGAGCCACAGAAGTGAACAATCTGTGCAGGTCTTCCCTTTCTCCTCCTCTCTGTACCATAGATATCAACCACATCTTCATACCAAGTTGTTCAATCTTTTCAAGTCCAAGAACTGTTTTGCAGCTTTAGACTTGAAGTTTGTTTCACACCTGAAAAATGCCTTCCACATGAAGGCCTATGAATTTTTCAGTTTTAGCAACATATCGTATTGCTTCACTTCATGCACCCGGCTTCATTTAATAGGTGTTCATTTCATGCTCTCTCTAGCGCCTCTCCTAGACATACTGTGATTAGTGAAGCTTGTTGCATAGATTTTGTACTGAGGTCCAGCTGAAGCAGCTCACTGTCCAGGTAAGGGATAAGGAGGAAGGATGCTCTCAGGCTCTCACCTTCCCAGACTCCATAAGTGGCAGACTGTGTGGAGAACCTCTCTCTACCAAACGCACCCTGAGAAAATAAGAGAATACATTTGTACAAGAATTTAGGAACTTCTACAGTAGAAGTTAAATAGAAGTGTTCAGTAATCCTATCATCAGCTGCACTGACCAAACTCTTATGATGCCAGCCAATTTGCTCAGTTATTCACAATGCAGTGAGTTAAGAGTTCTGGCTGTCTTCAAGATTTCTCTATTAGCATTCCCAAAGACGACGTTTCTTTTAAGAATTAGAAACTCAGCTCTCTGGAGAGATGAGTAACTGTTTCCAACAGAGCTTGAAGGTTGCAGTTCCACCAGCATTTTACATTCACCTTCTTTGCTGGACTGCCTTGCACCTCTGCTTGCCACACTGACCCATGGCAGAGAGGCAGTAGGAATTGCAAAAAGTGAAGAGCAAGCAGCCTAAACAGAATTAAGTGACACCATGCAGCACATTAGCAGCATAACTTACTAAGACAGCACATTTGCAGAATGAACAAGAATTGAGTGCAGTAAAAGAGGCATACAAGAGAGGCAGCTCTTGTCATATCAGACTATCCCTACACCTATAGGCTAGAACTAACGCAGTGGCAGCTTTGAGGCTACGGCTGAACTTGGTTTTAAAAGGAACAGATACCATGCAAGTCATAGTGATACATTCAAGAAGGAGAAAATGACTGTAGTTTACATTGATCTGTTCAGATGCCAAGCAGGGTCATGCTAAAGGTGGTGAAGAGCTTGTCTTCGAACAGCTAAGATTTAAGCTTGCAGAAATTAGAGATGAGTTAGTCACAAAAGCTCCCACATACCATAAGCCCCTAATTTAACATTAACAATTTAAAAGAAAATAAAGCAAATGCTTTATTTTTATTTATATTTTGATTTATATATCAAGACATAAATCTTGATATTATGTTTCTCAAAATAAGTACAGAAACAAATACATGTATGCATGCACCCTGCTAAACTTACAGTCTTACTCTAAACTTGGTGCTGCCAGCACTTGTGTTAACTAAGTTAACTGAGAGACAAGTTAAGATGAAAATTATGACTACAGATTTACATCTGATGGACTGATGTATCTGTGGCAAGTTTCCAGATGATAAGTAGGTACATATGTGCGCGTGTGTGTGTGTGTTTTGATATGCTGTAATACAGGCCTGACATCAGTTTATTGGGTCTGGGAAGGCTGAGGGGATTGAGTTGCTTTTGTCTGAAGGGAAGGGTCAAAAAAACTAACCCACAAACCAAACCAGTAAGGGACACTCTAATTGTACTTTTCCCACTACCTAAAGGACTGTTAGAGAGAACACGGAGCCAGATTTCTTGGGAGTTGCACGCTATAAGGAGAAGAGACCAGGGACATAATATGCAAAACGCCACTAAGGAAAACTTCCCCCAAGTGGGGTGTCAGTCTCAGCACACGCACACCCAGAGAGGAGGAGCATCTCCATTCGTGGAGATGTTCTGTACTGAAATGCTCCTGGCCCTCAGTAACCTCATAAAGTCCTGAAGCTGGTCCTGCTTTGAGCAGGAGGTTACTTGAGGGACATCAGAGATCCTGCCCACTCCGAATGGTTCTGTGGTTCTGTGACTAACCACCCAGTTGGCAAAGTCACCTTTTGCTAAGGGTATGATCAGGTAAGAAACAGCTAATGGGTCTAGATTATATGGGACTGATGAACAGGCAGCAAGTTAAGAGATGTTCTAGAGAGGAACAGCAAAATAAGTGATGGAGGAGGAGATGCTGGACCATTTCCAGCACAGAGGTGTCATTCCCTAGGATGGGGTTCCTTGTATATAGTGATGAGGGATTAGCTGCTGCCAAGAGCACTTCAGCAAACCAGTACAATGAGGCTGAACTTTCTGTTCTACAGGAGGAGCATTAAAATAGTTAATGCTTTAACATAATCTGTACCTGTCATGTCGAAGTGCTCTCATATCTACGTAGACTGTTGTTGGATCTGGTCCTGCTGTTCCCTAAGAATAAGAAGGAAGAAACAAATTCAACAGAAGCCGGAAAATCCTCTTCTCATTCTCACAGCCACATCAATTCACAAATTCCTCTCCCTTTTTAACTGACATTTATAAAATGCTGCCCTAATCTAGCAGAAATGTAGTAAAATAGCCCCCCTTACTAGAGGGACTGACATAAAGCTTTGATGTTTTATGGAATCAGTAAATGAATGCACAAGCAAAATACATATTTATACAGGTAAGTCTTAATTTGGTAAGCACCTCCTGTAGAAACTACACAGCAAGTGCAAAGCATGTAAGCATAAATCTGTGAGGTCCTTAATCCCTGTCCCAAAGATCAACTGTTCTGTTTTGTAACAGATTTATCAACTTCGAAATAAAAATCCCCCAACATTTAACTAAATTTAACTCCAAAACGTAGTTTTGTGTTTTGAAGCATGAAGTATCTTACGGAGTATGGAGTTATGTTAAAATATAACCCCAACCAACCCATATTTTGCCAGGGCTCCTGTCAGTAACAGCCTGGGCAGAGGCAAAGCTTTGTTGCAATCCCAGGAGAAACCTTCTGACCAGCTCTGGTGAGGAGTTTCCCATTTCCCAAGATGGGAACAGGGGACTTTATTTACTCCCCAGCAGAACTGAATCTCAAGACAGCCAGCAACTACCATGAAATGCATACTTAAGCTACAAAACTAGGCAAAGTTTTGGTGACTATCCCTGCCCCC